AATGGCACATCACCTTCTAATGCTTTAAAAATATCACTATCGTCTAATAATGATGGATTGCTAAATAAATTTTCATTATTTTTAGGCGAAAGATCTTGTTTTATATCATTATATAACTCTCGAACTAATATTTCAGCTTTAACTTTACCATCTCCCTTAGATCATTCAAAAGTTTTAAAAGTGGATCTAAAGGTGTTGCTACAAGTATAATATCAGATGGAATTGTCCAAAGTTCATCCAAAGATAAAAAAAATGGCTGCACGAACTTTTTGAAGCAAATTACTAGTATCTACTGGAGGTAAATATTCTACAGTGTTTATATCATCTAAACTAATTTCCTTTGAATTAAATGTTGAACTTCGATTTTTTCTTTTGCTAATTTGCCTATAACCTTGTCCACTTTTATTTTTCTTTTTTACCATTAGTTGATGAAAGTGATGATGTGCATATTGTCAATGCTGTCTTGATCCACCTGATGGAATGTACTCATCATCACTAACTATATCATCATCTTCTTCTTCATTACTAATGGATCCATAAATTAATTCAAGGTAAGTATCAAAAGATTCTCCAATTTCTTCACGTGGTGCAAAGGTATTTTTAAGTAAACACATATATGGATTAATAAGGCTAAGTGTAGAATAAATTGCATCACAAATTTGATATGTCATATGTTCAAATAGTTCTAATGTATTGATCATTTCTTGAAGAAATCTATTAAATTTTATTAAATAAATAATATTTTAATAAAAAAATTATATTATTTTATAAATAATTACTATTGATATTTTTGAATTATATATTTTTCTAATTTATAAAAATATTTTATAAATAAAAATCAACTTACTCTTTTTCATTTAAAATTAAGCATAATCGTTCTAACATTTTACCTTCTCTTTTTGATATTGAATCAGATTTTAAAAGTAATTCAGCAGATACAAATTTCATAGAATTATATAATTCTAATACTTGTTTTCATGCATAATATATAAAATTCTACCTAGTGTTTATATCAGTTAAGATATCAAGTAGATTTGTATATTCATCATTGAATAAGTTATTTAATTGAGAATTTTGTTATACTTTTCAAAGTCATTGAGCTTATTTAGGTAATTAAAAAAAAGATTATAAACTTTTTACTTTTCAGTAAAATACTTTACATTATTTTAAATTCTCTAATACTAAAAGTTTAAAGTATATATAATATAAGGTTAGTGTTGAATTGAATTAATATAATTTTCATCTAATAAATAAATTGCCTTTATCATGTTTGTTCTATTATCAATTACTATAGTAAAAGTTGTTGAAGTTAAATGCTATTCATTTAAAATTTGAAATAATTCATAAATTATGATTTTACCAGTATGAGGATAAGAAAAGTGATTATAAATCAATAAAGTTTCTTGAAATTTGCAATCCAAAGATCAATTGTTAAATGTACTGTTATAATAATACTTCTTAATAGAAAATGAAGTTGATCTATGCTTTATGTATATGATAAATGAAGTACTCCTTCATAGTTTTGTTACAAGAAATCTTAAGTCCTAGTTTATATATTAATAGAAGATTGTGAAAGTATTATTTTGAAGAATATATAGAAGCTAAACATATTGAATAATAAATTTTATAACTTTTCTTGTAATTATTTCTTGTCGTTTAGGCAAACAAGAATTTGAATTACTTATAAAGTTTGTAATTCGAAGCTGATCTCTATAAGGCTATTTAATAATAATAAAATAAAAATTAATTATTCTATTCTTTCTTAAAAAATTGATTTTTCATATTATTTAAGTATATTGATAATCAAAAATTACCTCTTTGTCATCTAAAATTCTAAGTAATTTTCTTTAGTAATATTATATTTATCACATAAATGTATTATAAGATTAGTAGTATTTTCACTTTTTCAGTTATAGCCATATGCAGCTTTATTTATTTCTGCAAACTTCAATTCACAAATTTTACAATAAATAATATTAGGATTTTTTTTTAATTTAAAAGAAATATGCTATATGACTGCAGTTAATTCTAATTAAGAATGAATAAGATTCTACACTTCATTTATTTGTATCATTTTTTGTGCTAATAATATCAGTAGTTATAAGTTCTGTAACAGTTTCTGTATCAGAAAGTATAACTGAAGAAGTTGATAGTTCATTATAATGAAAAATAAAATATGCAAAAAGAAAAAGTGTGTAAAAAAAAATAATGATTGCATGGAAAAAGCCATATAAGAAATTAAATATGAATATTTTTATTAAAACCTTAAATTTTTTTAATAAATTGAAAACTGGATTTTTTAACCAGTTGTATTCAGTTTTTATCACAACTGGTTTTACATCATTCTAAAATTTGAAACTGGATTTATTCAAAAATGATTAGACTTGAATTTAAAACTGAATTAT